TGACTTGAAACGGGAGTTTGCTCCCTTACAGGTTTCTCGTTCACAGCGTCGCAGTTTCTGATCATTTTAATTCAAAAACGATAGTGTCAGTCATTTAATTACATAAAGTTTTTTAAATTATTGTATGGTATGGCCGGAAAAAATCGCCTGGGGACACTTCTTGAGTTGTACTTCCTCAGTTCCTTAAGCCTCCCGACAAAAAAATTTTCTTTTGAACTACTTTTTGCAGATTGGTCGTCTTCTGGCTTACCTGCTCCATTTTTCAACTTGTTTTTTTAAACGTCCAGTTTTACCTAGTTTTCATTGCTTTTTTATACACTTTCGTGATTGTCAAAGAAGTCAGGACTTATTTGTACTTCAAAAGAATATCAGCGGTTTTTGTTTGCACAGGAGGTTTTTTCTGCGCTTAGACAGGCTTAAAGCTTCATCCATTCTGGAGGTCGTGAGCGTGCGAAGTAATTTAATTAAATTAAAAACAAATGTATGTTTTCTGGATCGATTCGAACTGTTTGGAAAGGAAACTTCTTACGAGTATGACTCCGGGGCAGTTTTCCAGTGTTTAGAACTCCACTTTGCGGCGATCATACAGTCATTAAAAAGCTTAGATAACGAGACGTTCAATACGCAAGTTTGGCTGAAAGCACATTTTTGACTCACATTTTTATTTTTTCCGTGTTCAGTAGTGAGGGCTGCTGCCGCTGGAGAAAGTTCTTTCCACGCCATGCATTTTAAACCGGTTTATGCTCGTTAGAAAGTTGATAGGACGGGCAGCTCATTCTTGTTGGTTTGATTACGAGTCACCAATCAACTTTTTGGGTTGTATGCCGTCCGACGTTTTTTGTGTTTCTGGGAACTTTTTATCCAATGGTAACGTTTGCTCTAAAACCAGTCTGTGTTTAATAGGAAGCTGCATGGACGAATTACTCAACTTTATTACTCCGGTCACTGGTCACGGTTCGATTTTTAAGTTGAATGCTTTTTCAGCTGCTTTTTGTAGGAGCGTGCAGGAGTTTTTCGTGCCATTTGCACTACGCACTGCAGTATCACAGGGTGCGTACTTGCTTCTACAAGAAGAGAAATTAAGGCGACAAAAAATATGCAACTTGTGGTGTCTGCCCACGATCTCCTCCTCCCCCCCCCTGTAGCGAGAAATTAAACAACACGCGATTCAAATAGCCCTCGTCGTCGTAACAGAAGATATTTGAAGACGTCGCCGCTACTGAAATATGGGACGATATAATAAGATAGGAAAAACAGCAGTAGAATAAAATAATACAAATTATTTTAATCAGTCGAATATAGGGGTTCAAGAGTCGGTTTACTTGCTGGACGTAATACCGATGAACAGCAAATAAAAAAGAGAACAACTAATTCTAATATGAAGTATATCAGAATTTGAAGTAGTAACTCCAATTGGGTAAAGTTCCACCGATCGGCCATCAGCAAAACAGAGCGATCAATTCCAACATCTAATATATTAGAACTTAGACTCAAATAACAACTCCAATTGGACTGGATCTCAACGATCGGCTAATGGAAGTGAACAACGAATTTTTACCTACTGGACAGAATTTCGACGATCAGCCAATAGCGAAATAGAACGATCAATTTTAATAAACAATATATTGGAACTCAAACTAAGTTAGTATTTCCAATTATTCTAACTCCCAATGACCAGCCGATAGGAAAATGAACAACTAATTCCAATATCCAATATATCGAAATTCAACCTAGGGTGTCCGGAGCTCAAACTCGGGTGATAAACCTTTACCAAGTGATCAAAAAGCTAACATACATATAAGTAATAACAAAGAGAATTCGATCAGTAATAATATGACGAAAGTAATCTCTGGGCTACTGAAACTGTCCTTCCGGAGAAATACAAATTGCACAATAATAGTAACCCTTTCATTGATCAGCTGTATATAAGATCACATAGATCGCGAGGCCATCTTTGAATTTGTTTCTTCCCTTAGAGATCTTTACTCGCTTTTTGCGACACCCTCCTCCCCTAATCGACTCTTATTGGAATTTTCCAACAGGGATATTCTAGTTCCGGCATGGATATCCTAAATGAGCAAACAATTTAAAAAATAAAAAAGGAAAAAGCGAAGAAAGGGGCACGTAACTCAAAAGATCGGTTGTAGATCCTAACCGAGCGACAAAGACGAACATCCTGCTGCTAAAATTGTCCAACAAACATGGACTAGTTCCAAAATTAACATTGCCGGTTGATGAAAAGTCCAGGATTGCAACGAGCTTTTATATAAATTGGGTGGGTAAAGTGACATTTAAGTTTAAAGAGAGATAGGTTGAACTTAGACGAGCATAATTCAGCTGCTTGTTGCTAGACCTTTCTAGCAACTTAGAATCTCTCCGGAACAGGGATCCTGAATACTTGAGAACCTTCCTGAAGTCATGTTGATGACGAAATTCATATCCAGGCAATTGGAAATGTGATGACAGGTATGCGTGTCTTTGCGGAAAGCTCTTCAACTAATAAAATATACATAGTTATATAGGCGGTTCAGGAATGAATGCCTTGGTTTGACGGGTGGGCTTCCAAGATTGCAGCAGGCTGGCTCAGGAAGTGAAGTTCAGCTCAAAAAAAAAAACGAGCATACTTTACTTGCTCATTTTTTAAACCGACTCTGCGATCTTTACACAATTCGCGTACTGATAACGTGGAAATCGCTCCAGGTTCCCATATATCGTTATCGAGTTTCCTGTTCGGATAGTTAGAATTGTTCTAGCGGGGACGCATTCGTTTTTGGCGGGACTTTCAGAAGTAGTTCGGAAGCAAAGGCCCTGTACATGGGGAAGCTGATCTGTAGTCTGGCGAGGAAATTCCTTCACGTATAACTCAGAGAGTAGTGCTCATCATTGATGGCTGCTTTGGAGAATGCTACAGTAAATTCAAATAGTCTATTTTGTCTAATTTGTTCTGAAACTTGAGCTTAGCATCATCCTCTTCATCGCGTTTATGATTACGCGGCAGTTGCCAAATTTTGCTGTAGTTTGTGTCGAGGTTATCAGACAATTTTCCTAAAATTGAAGATTGGACCTTTGTTGTTCTTTATTTAAGAAAATGTCTACAGGAAGGTCTTTTATTCTTCTCTGTGATTCCTAGTATACTTTTCTTGAATTACTGTCCTAACTTCCTGCTTTGTATTTAAGGTTCTTACCTTGTAATAAAGAACTAGGGTTATAGCTTCATTTTAAAATAATAGTTCTGTGGTAAAAAGAATTGATGTAACGAATATTAAACCGAACGGACCAAACCAAATGTGAAACGAAGAAGCAAATGAAACCAGCATTAAAGAGGACTGGGTAATTGACAAATAATAAGTAACGATAAGCAGCCGAAAGAAATAAAACTTTGGGGGGATGGTACTTCGTTTCTCTAAGCAAGTATCGTATTCTAGCAATAGCACCGTACTGTCTTCATTGACTGCCAATACAGTATCAAATCTTCGTTTCTCTAAGCAAGTATCGTATTCCAGCAATAGACCGCTGGACAATTTTATTTGAAAAGTAAAGGTCCAGAAGCTGCCAAATTGGGCACGTAAAGACTTCGACTCGTTCCCAGGTAAACACTTGAGGTCGTTTTTTTATTCTAAAACTATTGGTTATTTTTCAGTATTTACACTAGCTCTACAAGCCTTGTTATGACTACCTCGGAAATGGTTTATTTGCCCTAATTCAATTGGCTTAATTACTTTTACACCTTAAGATCTTTAAAATTTTATGTATTTCTCTCACACTTGACCTTCTGTGTAAACCCTGTGAAATGATTGTGAGTGTTTAATGGAGTGTGGATTTTGCGAACGACACCACTCCCAAAAAAGGGAGCCAACCGGTCCTACCTATTCGAAGTGAAGTCAGTTAACAATGATCTACCTCAAAAACGGCGCTCGTAATTCTTCCTTGTAATTCTCTTCGATACCTACCAGCTTGGTTTATTTTTGCGGTTTGTTAAGATACTTCAGCAAATATTTTACACAAACAAAAATTAGAAGTACAAAAGGGAAGCAAATTATAGTGCTACGGTTATCAACTACAACTAAATTGGAACTTGCAACAGACTAGGGACCTGGAATGCTTCCAAAAAAAACTAATAAGAAAAACGAAAGAAAAGGTAAGACTAGATGGTTAACTCGCTTCTTGATGGTTTTTTCATTAAGATTACTTTCAAGATCGCGTTTCCTTCTCTCCTCGTTTTAATTTCATTTTGCGGTTTTTTTTATATGTAGATATACCTTTACAAACTTGCTGAAATTTATTAGTTTTTAATGCACATGTTCGCGACTCGCTCTCCTAATTAATACAAAAAATGATAAATAAATATTCCTTGCGTACAGGACAAGTTATAGTAAGTTCAGTAATGTGACTAAGTTAATTGAGTATTGAACAATGAGTTTACTGACGTGTTCGCTTTGTGCTCTCATTAGCTTCTGATAAGACTAATT